TGGGGGGGGGGGAGGGAGGAAAGAGAGAGAAGGTTAGTCGGTTCAAAACTACATCAAAACACTTGTACAGGCATCGTTGTGGGCTAACAGAATATTGTAACACCGGAAAATAAGTAGTTGCGCGAAAAATGGTAGGTTCATGAGTGTGCGAAAGCAAACAAAAAGAGACCAAAAAAAGGTTTGGACGGCTACAGCAGTATTGCACGAAATCGTTGGCGCGAAACCAGTGTCATAGCTAGTCCACACGTGTTTACCAACGCGTGCAACTAACGTTCGAGCGGGCCATGACAGCCAGGAAGCCTTTACAGTCAGCAAGGGCCAAGCGAAGCCACCTCCCAAGAAGTTTCAAGACATTTTCGTCCTCCAGCGGACAGGATCGAAGGGACCTTTCGCTCAGCACACTCCCCCAGTCACACCAAACCGAAAAGCACGTTTGCTCTAAATCTCTCTGCAGCTTTCTACCAGGAACCACTCAGGGAAAACTGGCACGTGACCAGCTCAGTAGCGACGGTTTCACTGCTGCCTATTGCGTGGAGGCGGGCGGGCGTTGCAAAATTTCTTGAGCACAAGTCAACCCGCCAGCTCTGCTCAACCCTTGAACGATCTGTCAAAGGAAACCAAGCACACGAAACAAGCAAGCCACCATCTGCACTGCACCGAGAGGTGTGGATGGAATGACAACAACAAAGCCCGCGCCCTGGGCCTGGGAATATCCACCAATCAACAATTTCCTTTCACAAATCATCTGAACAATCAGAACTCTACACGCACTGCCTGGACCAGGGAATGTCCACCAATAATCAGAAGTTTCCTTTCGCAAACACACTTGACCAATCAGAACTCTGCACGGCCTGGACCAGGGGATATTCTACAATAGTCAGAAGTTTCACTTCACAAAAAAAGTGACTAGCAGAATAACTCTACCTGCACGGCCTCGAGGTCCACGACGCAGGCTAGGTTTGCAGCCTGTACCACCGCGGACGACAGGCAAAGGAGTCCATCCGACAGGGGTATCGCCACCCCCTCCTCCTCCGTCTCCAGGGAACCGGTGGCATCGGGCGAACTAGCTTCTATCGGGCTGGCTGCGTCCTCGGGCCGCTGCCGCGAGTCGTCGTCGTCGTCCTTCTTTTCCGCGCCCAAGGCGACAACCCCCGAACTTGACGGCTGGCGCTGCCGCCGCTCCTTTTCAGTGCCCACCATCGCCGCCAACAGCGAGACGAGCGATCCCACCGCCCTGACCGCTCCTGAGGCGGGGGTGGGGGACCCCGCGCCGCCGGTCGCGGGACCCCTCACCAGAGGCGACGGATACGCTGGTGGCGGGGCGGCGAGAGCACCGCGACGCAGGTCCTCTACCGCCCGGCATGTACGGTTGGCGGTAGCTGGCCCGGCGGGGCGCACGAGTGGGTGCGACACAACCGCCGTCACGAGCTCGGCGACGTGGCCGGCGACCTGCAGCAGGGGACGCCCGGGCGGCAGCGGCGACAACGACCTCGTCGGCTTCGAGCCGGCGATTATCGTCTTGCGCCGGAGTACGAGGAACGGCAGGGGCCGCGCCGGCATCCGTCGGGAAGAATCGGGAGATTGAGAACGGGAGCCGGGAGCGGAATACTTGTCGGTTGCCGCCATCGAAGACGAAGGTGGCGGAAACAGCCCCCCTCCCGTAGGGCTTGTCGAGCAGCGCTTGTCGGTATCGTGGTGGTTTTTCCCTGTGTGTTTACCCGTTTCTGCGGGTCCTACTCTTGTTCTCGTTCCGGTCGTCGGCAATGCTGCTGCTGCACAGAACGCGTGGAGCTGGTAGGTCAACACGGACAGGTCGGAAAGGAGCCTTTTCGTCGCGAGGTATCGCACGAGCCCCTCCTGGATCCTTCAGTTGACAGTAGCACCGAGGGGAAGGATAGCGAAAAAGAGCGGCCGGCCGCATGATCAACAAAGAGGAACGAAGAACCACGACAAATGTAGGGCCTTGTGAGAACGGCCATCTTCCATGCAAGCGCCTGCATGAAACAGAACAATGAAATTTACGCACGCGATCGCGGTGGGGTTGACACGGTACTAGTCGCAAAAACGACGGATGTGGGTGGTCCCTGTAGGGGCAGACAGATCAGCTGCGAAAGGTGGGTCGAGGTCCGCAAAGAGAAAGAGAAAAGGAGGCATGGAGGAGCAGACACAGCATCTGTACCAGGGGACTCCGCTTGGAAGGAAACTTCGTACCGGACATGCAAGCCACCACGACAATGTATCAACAACGCCGGTGAGTACCCCTGTTTAAAACACACCCGCTGGTTCGGTCCATGCGATCCCGGGGGAAAAAACAGGCGCGCGCTCCGCTGCTCGTTACAGCTCAACAACTCTACGGCGAGGTAGGTCCCACACTAGAGCTTCTATGCACGAGAAGTCACTTTGAACCGTGGTACAAAAAAACTACGGCGTCTTGGTAGTGTGGTCGGCCGACAACTCAAAACTCCGAGACATTGCATGTAGTAGACCACGAGAAAGAGGGGTAGCGTGAGGTTAGCAGGAACATGCACGGAGGATACCAGAAGAGGGCTGGGCCCGAGAGACAAAGCCTCGGCTGCACCCGCTAAAACTGGGCCCAAAGCCACATGAAACGTTTCCTTCGGTCACCTCCAGATCGATCTGTCCGAACTCCTGTGGCGGACCAGCAGCGAAACCACCGCTAGCGCTGTCAACAGCGCTTCCTCCACCTCAAGCTTCACCCCGACCTCCCGTCCACACAGAGCCTTGGAATTAACGGGAAGCTCAAGCCCCCGCCGATATTCCTTGCTTCGAGAGCCAACTTCCCCACTCTGGAACACAAGCCGGTCGATCCAGGTCGACGCGAAGCACAAACGAAGTTCCGTGGGAGGCGACGGACAGGCGTAGCGCCCTCTGTTAACATTTGTTTGAAAAGAGGTCCGCGGCAGGTTTGCGACCGCAGATTTTTGACGCGAAACTCACCAACCACGCGGACGAGGTTAACGAGGCGCGTGATATCGGTTGAGAAATCCGGGAAACCGCCACCGCATGGTTCCGGGTCGTTTTCTTTCCTCCGGGTTGGCAGCCTTCCCGTCGTCGTGCAGAAATTCGGAAGGGATAACACTCACCTCCCACACCGCTGTGAGGACGAAAACGAAGCATTTCGTCGTACTTCCGCTAAACACCTCGCCGCTTGCTTGAAGTTTGTTACCAATTCTTGGGGTGCAACATTCCTCCCACAGTGCGGAGTCTCTCACGAACAACAGCTACTCCGACAGAAAAAAAAATGAAATTGGCTGTTGAGTGCAATGGGTGGCTGCACAGTCGACCCTGCGATCCTCTACCTCCTTCTCCATCGCCTTCATGTTCGTATCTGCGGTGCTGTTCGGGGACATCCCTCCCATGACGGTTCGATCCTCCGCGGGCACCGCCGCATCGAAGGGGGGAGGGCGGGGGCCGGGACGTTTCGTGGTATCCCCGTGCCTTGTTGCCCGCTCCAGGAGACGGAACAGGCAGTCCACCTGGGAACGTGACGGCCGGACGGAGTTGAAAAACAACGAGAGTGAGCCGGCCGGGTGGGGGGGGATGGGCGAACAAGAGTTTCAATCACGTCCGGGAATGCTACCAATGCTTCAGCTTGATTCAGGATAAAACGTCCACAGAATTGTAGCCGACCACTCTTTCCTTCGCCACAGGGAATACAGCAGTCGTTTAGAGGGTTGCCATATGTATTGCTTCGAAGAGAAAGGATGGCAAACAAGAGTTTCAACCACATCCGTGAATACTACGCATACTTCCGTTTGATGCAGGAGAAAGCGCCCACAGAACTTCGGCCGACCACTACCTGCCTCGCTACGGGAAACACAGCCGCCGAAAAGGATGCGATACAGTATATATGCATTGATTTCGAAGAGAAAAGTAAGGCACTCACAAGAGGCGCCCCTCCGTCGATCCTCAGCACGTGATCCCGATTATCCGGCTCGTCCGCCAACGACGCGAACATAACCTCGAGCGCGGACTCCGTCACCGCCTCCCTCCCGCCGTCGTTCCCTTCGCCGGCGGCGGCGCTCGCGGCGGCGCCCTCGTCGCTCGCGGCGGTCTCCTTCTTCGCTCTGTTTCCCTGGTCTCGTCCCCCACATCCACCATTGCCCCCGGGTGCAGTTGGCGTTGAACCAGCAGGAGAAGGGAAGGCCATGGACGCAGTTGGAGTTGAAGCCGCAGGAGCACGGCCAGCACCAGAGCCAGCACCAGCAGTGGAGGGAGTAGAAGGCGAGGAGGAACAGGACGAGGACGGTAGTCCCGTCGAGCAGGCCTTCGCCACACCGGGGTTAGCGGCAGTCACTGCAGCAGCCGGCTCTTGCTCGGAGGCCGCCGCCGCGTTGAGCTGAGGCACAACTGGTGTCCACGGAAACGGTGCACAGATGGCAACGAGAGAATCGAGCACCCCGCGCGACTTCGCCTGAGAGCGCAGACGTTGGGCCATGTTTTCGTTCACCGTTGTTGTGGCCCCGGCGACGGCGGAGGAACCACCGCCGTTGGCAGACGGGGGGGCGGACAAGACGTCCGTTAAAGACACCGCCCGCGAAGGGAAGGGAGCAGAAGAAGCGGGACACATGGCGTGAAGGTCACGCAATGACCTCCATGCGGCGGCTTCTATCGCTGCCATCCCCTGAGATGATGACCTTGACTGGCGGCGTGCTACAGGCGCGCCACAACGGGGGCTCCCCCTGCCACCGATGTCCATCCCATCGTCTTCCGACCCCGGCGTGACTCCGCCGGCGCATCCCACCGTACCGCTGTCAGCAGCGGCTCCCTCTTCCTCCTTACCGGTCAGGATGCTGCTGTGTTCGTCGGTGGCAGAGGTGTGATGTTGCTGTGGGGTGTGTGCTCGACGACTATTTCTCTTCTTCTTGGTCGAGGTGTCCCTCATTGGCCTGTGCTCCGCGCTTGTATCAGCAATGCACTGCGATGCTGCGCCCGCTTCAGCTAAGCTTCCTGCACCTCCTCCCCCTCCTCCTCCTCCTCCTCCTCCTCCACCC